CACCAGCTTTAAAAAAAAAAAAAAAGAGCCTCAGAGCCTTTCCTCGGGAAAAGAGGCTGGATGGCAGGCTGGTCATGAGCTGCAAGGAGCTGCTGGGCTGAAGGAGTCAGCACCACCCAAAGTGACTCAAAAAGCACCTGCCACGGCTCGGCGGCTTTGCTCATGCCAAGAGCGACACCTGACCTCAGCAAGGGGAAGAGAAGCCATGCAGCAGGGGCACAGGGGCAGGGACATCCGTGCAGCTCTGTGCCGGGTGCCGGGAGGCTTTTAATAAACACCAGAGCGAGAAATGTAACACCCCGGGCGCTATTTTGGATCGCTTGTCAGGAGGGGGAAGAGGGAGACGCAGTGCGGGGGTAGAGGAGGCAGCAGCCAACGTGACACCAGAGGTAGCAGCACTGAAAATAGCCACGTTGCACTCAGGCTGCTTGGAACCAGCATCACTGCCCTGCGGCGGGGGCAAAGCCCCGCTGGCTCAGCAGAACTGTGGGGCTCTTAGCCAGGCACTTACAACTACGGGGGGAGGGGGAGCTGGGCAGGGTGTCCAGGCAGTGAAGGACAGTCACTGTCCCCTTGTGCCTCAGTTTGCCCAGCTGCACACCTCAACATTCACCAGTCCGGGGGGGGGCAGGGGGCACGTGTGTTGCAAACAGGGGCTGGAGCCTTCCGTGCAAGGTGTCCAAGGTACAGGTTCCCACAGATCCCAGGGCCAGATGGTATTGTTGGAGAGATGCTTCACAAGCCCCTAGGGGCAGTTCCTTTAACAAGGCAGGGTGGGGGAGTGAGAATTACTTAGGCCTTCCTGAAATGGATAAGCAGCTCTCACACCTACTCTCAGCAGGGTTGCGGGGTGGGAAGGAGAGTACTGGAGAGGAAGATAGCATCTGTCCAGCCTCACTGCCCACTGCACAGAGCTACTTGATAATGATGAGCCACCAAAAGGCCCAACCTAAAGCCCACGAGGATACCTGCACACGCCTCTGACCCCCAAAACAGGCGCTCCCCGTGCTGGGAAGAACAGCCTCCCTGCCTCAAGCCACTTCAGCAACTCCAAGGAGTGGAGGCTTGTTTGCCCCAGGCCCTATAAGATCTGGCAAAGGGGTCATAACACGCAGGAACAGCAGGGGCAGGGATGGGGTGGAGGCTAAAGCCTCTTATTTAGCTTGTGTTGCCCTCCAGGTCCAAGCTGAAGGCAGACCCCAGCTCTACCTGGCACCAGGCTAGGACTCGCAGTTGAACGCAACACTGGCTACGTGCTCCCTTGTGCGCTGGGTCGAGCCACACACGGGCAACACCCTGACTAGCAGCAGGGAGCCCCAGACTAGCCCAGGCCATGACCCCCCTACCTACATATACACAGCAAGGACGTACAAGCACTTCCCAGGGACATCCTGGGCGCATGAGGGCACTTTGGCCCTAATTGCTCTGGAAGCCCATTGCCAGGGCGGGGGGTGACTCAGGGCTAAAGCTGCTCCCTCAGCCTGGCAGCACCAGCTGCAGATCCGTGCTAATCCTTCCGCTCGGGCGGATTATACCGGAGGCAGGAGTGGGTGCCACGGAAGTTGGGGAGCGGAACAGGGGTTCCCAAGCAAGCCGGCCACAGAGCCCTAAGGGCATGGCACCGCCCCCCATCCCCTCCTCTGGGGCAACCGCTCCCAGCTCCCCGCAGCCAGACCACCCCCATGCAGCCAGCTACCGCCTGCCTCACAAGAAGGCCATGCTCCACAAGCCGGGCTGAGGTTTGTCTTTTAATGAATCCATGGGATTTCTCTGCCACCATCTCTTTGCCATCTGCAAGCTGGGATGCGTTGGCCTCCCTGAGGTCTCTGCAGCAATGGGATTCCTGCAACATATGCACACAACCATGGGGGAATCAAAGGGGCACAGTAGCCAACTTCCAGAGGTGCAAAGTGGAGCTTTTTAGCTGCCGCTCTGTGCCCATGGGCTTCAAAAAGGTGCCTCAGTGTCAGCGCAGGGACCATCCTCAGACTCAGAGCAGAGCAGAGGCCTGAGGTGAAGGGCAAAGGGGTCACTATACTGCACCTGCCCGAGGGCACAGACACAGGCCAGATGGCCCAGCCCAGCAAGGGCAATCATGGCCCAGTACAGCTGGGATGGGGGATGGGACAGTGCAGAGCCCAGGAGACAGGAACTATTTGCTTTTGTGGAATAAGTGGAATGAAGAAGAGCAGAGGCGCAGCTGTCCGTCTGTGGGTGTGATGTGCCCAGCCCCCTCCAATCAGCTACAGCCTCACCCGGCCACCCACGCCCCCCAGGCTTGCTCTGCAGGAAGCCACCAGACCATCCCTCCCCCGCACCAGGCCCATGAACACGGGAACAATCAGAGCAGGGCCTCCCAGTGCCAGAGCCCCAACATGGCCAGGCATCAGCTGCTTTTGGTACCTGCCCAGGCACGGGGCTAACCCCACCCCAGTGCTGGGATCAGGATGGAGCTGGCCCTGTGCTGCCATCTCGCGGCAGAGGGCTGCCACAGCAGGCACATGCCCCTCGGCTGCAAGCTGGGAGCAAGGGGGCATTTACAGGGTGCCAGGGCCTCCAGGGCTTTGTGCTCTCAGGCACAGTCTGGGAAGCCCCTGCCAGGCCATGCACAACCCAATGCAGCCTTCCCAGGTGGGGCTGAGGATGAGGGCTGGAGAAGGGGCATGGAGCAGCAGGACAGAGCCACTTACCCCAATCACTCCAGGGCTTTGACAAGCGCCTCATTGGCTTCCACTTTGATCTGGGCTTCTGCTTTCGCCACTTCATCTGATGCTGCCGTCAGCTCCGACAAGGCTTTCTCCAGGTTTGACTTGGCTGCCTTCGAGGAGCAGGGCAAGATGGAGGGAGGGGGTCACCAGGGCAGAGGAGGGAGGCACAGCAGCCTTGCAAGGGGGCACCTGGGGTAGGAAGGGCTGCGGGAGGTGCCCTCAGCTCTGGAAGCTGCTGCCCTTATTCCTTTCAAGGGAGGCAGCGATTAGGGGGAATGAAGAGATAAGAGCGAGGAAACTGGGTCTTAATCTGCATAAGCTTTCCTCGGCCACAAGCAGCTCTGGAGCCAGGCAGCCCACGCTGAACAGTGAGTCCCCTGCAGAGGCATCAACTACCTGCGAGTGGGAGCCTGAGATGAGCAGGGCTTGGCCTCATCCATCCCCCTGCCACCCCCCGGGTGTGCTTGGGGTACTCACGGCCAGATCCAGCATGTCCACACTGGCCACCTCTTCTGCCAGCAACTGCACGGAGGAGTCTGCATTCACCGTGACAGAGCCACTGCTCACTGCAAGCACAAGACAGCCACAGTGAGCTGCTTTACAGGACTGGGACCTGCCTGGCTCACAAGGCCAGGGCAGAGGATGGCTTTGGCATGGAGGCATTCCCACGGCACTGTGGCCCATGATGGGCTCAGCCCTCCCCCACTGCAGACTTGCTGTGAGGCTGGTCCCTGGTTACTCGGGCCCTCTCATTGCCAGGGGAGGTGGTCAGACCTACCCCCACAACAGCATCCCAGTGGGGACGGGCCACCCAGTTTCCCTGCAGATCCCAAACCCTTGCTCCGTCTGCTAAACAGCCGCACGGCAGGCAGCTCCCACTCCCGTTAGGCCATGCTCCGGACACATCCTCAGGGCCTGAACCTGCCTTTGTGCTCAGCCAGAGAATCCCGGGGCGGGTGGCGTCACCCCTGCAGAAGCCCCCCTGCCCTGGGCCGCTCCCGACTGCACCACACGCCCCACGCGCACCGAAGTACTTGGAGGCAGTGCCGTCCTCGGCGTAGACCGTCACGATGCCAGGCCTCAGCACCTGCAGGGTGGGCACGTGGGCAGCCAAGATGCCGAAGGAGCCAGTCAGCGTGGGGACGTCCACTTGCTTCACGTTGGCCCCGTTGTAAATC